AGCCGGTCTTCCTCAGCAAAAAAAGGAGGATTAGCATGGATGTTAGCTCAGGGCCGATCTTCCTCGCAAAAACAAAACAACAACAACAAAAAACTATCACTTCCTACTTATTTGACTACATTTACTATTATTTACATTCTTGACGTTATTTTCATCTACTGTATCTGTAAGGTGGGAATGCTGTATAATGATGTGCTACTATGCACCTCTTTGCATCTCTTCCCATCTCGGCATGACGTCACATCGATAGCTTACCATTGGCTATGGTAGGAGAAGCACACCATAGAAATTGGCAGTCACTGCAAATTAGGGCTTTTTTTTCTTTTGAGAGCTGGTTGTTAAACATTTACCGGAACAACATGAGTCCTGCTGGTTTTACCTCCAAAACATACCTACTCTTTCTCTCCATCCCATTGCTATCCCTCCTCCCTCGTCTGGACCACTGTGGTTGTCCCGTCATGGTCTCTCTCTGCTCCTACCTTTTCCCACGGTCTGTTCCCCACTCAGCAGCCAGAGGGATCCACGGAAGTCTGCACCAGTCCCTCCTCTGCTCACTGCCCTCCCATAGCTTCCACGGACCCCAGAGTCAAAGGCAAAGCCGCCCCGACAGCCCACAGGCTCTGCACAACCTGCCCCACCATAATCCTCTGACTTCATCTCCTCCCCTCTCCCCCTTGCCCACTCGGCTTCAGCCACACTGATCTCCCTGCTGTTCCTCCAACACAGCTTCCCACCTTAGGGCCTTTGCACTTGCCGTTCTACCTGCCTGGAATTTTTCCCCAGGTAGGCTCCTTCTTGTCAATCAGGTCTCAACTGTTCCTTTCTAAGCTAGCTTCCCCAAGCCATTCTCTGCCACACCCCTTGTTTCTTGGCTTCATGGCACTTTGGAATTATCTTGTTCTTTGGTTGGTTTCTGTGTTTCTTCTCATCTCCCCATCAGGCTGACAGCTCTGTGAGAGCCATGACCTTGTCCATCTTATTCATAGGAGCCCCAGCTCCCCGCACAGGGCCATAACAACCGTAAATGTTTGCTGGATGGATGGATGCATGCATGCATGGATGCATGGGTGGATGGATGCATGGATGCATGGATGGATGCATAGATGGATGGATGGATGGATGGATGGATGGATGGATGGATGGATGGATGCATGGATGGATGGATGGACGGATGGATGGATGCGTGGATGGATGGATGCGTGGATGGATGGATGAATGGATGGATGGATGGATGCATGGATGGATGGATGCATGGATGTCAGGACCCTGGTGCAGAAGAGTGTCTGCATGGATCTGTTCAAGGCCCCTCAAGTCTTGGCAGCCCCTCTAGACTCCCACCAGGGATAATGCTGCCAGCTGTCACTCACCAAGCATGCATAATATACCAAGCTCCTTACATGTTTTGGAAAATGGGGGCCCAGGGGAGCCAGAGACCTGCCCACAGAGGAGCAGAGCCAGAGCTGGGTGACCCCAGCGGTAGGCGGGGTCAGGGGATCTCACCTTCCACAGAGAGTTTCTCCACCGCCCTGCGCTCCCCGCGGGAGCAGTGTGGGGGCAGCGTGTAGCCCTTGATGCTGCGGCCGGTGCGTACACGGCTGCTGATCACGTAATGGGGGTCCAGGTCATCTCCACCCTGGAGGACAAGTTGGGGGTCAAGGCCCAGCAGACCCTTCTGGGTGGGCCGCCCCGGCTGCCCCATCCCCCGTCTTCCACCAGATCCTCCCATTCTCCCTGGCTCTCTGCTGCTTCCTCTGGCTCCTCCTTCCCCACTGGCCTCTCTCCCCACGGCCCTCCCCTGCTCTCTCTCCCCCTCTCTCTCTCTCCATCTCTGTCTCTCTCCCATCTCCCCATCTGTTGCTGTTTTTTTCTCTATACCTCTCCCCCCCATTTCTGTTTCTCTTCATCTCTCTCTCTGTCTCTCCTCCCCCTCTGACTCTCTCTGTCCTCTCTGCGTCTGTTTCTCCCTCTTCTACATGTCTGTTTTGTGCCCTACTTTTCTCTCTCTTTCCCCTCTGTCCCTGTCTCCTTGTCTGTCTCTGTGTCTCTCTGTCCCTCTCTCTGCTCCCATCTCCCTCTGTGTTTCTCTCCATCTCTGTTCATCTCTGTGTCTCTCTGAGCGCTCCTTCCCACCTCCATCCTGCTCCCTCTCTCCTCCTCACCCCTCTGTCCCCCATGCCCCCTCCCCTGGGGGCAGCCGACCTTGAGGTTCTCATGGTTGAGGTCAGTCTTGTGCTTGTCGGTGGGCTTGTAGCCCCCGTGCCGGTCCTGGATGATGGGATCGAAGAGATCCTTGAAGACCACATAGGACTCCTCGTCACCGGCCACACAGCCCACGGTCATGATGAAGGGGTGACCTGGGGGATCAGGGTGACGTCAGAGGTGCTCGTCCCCAGCAAGGAAGGCCGGGGCCCCTGGGTCCAGTGTAGACTCTGTGTGTGTGTGTGTGTGTGTCTGTGTGTGTGTCTTAGTGGGGGTTCATTCAAGATCTCCGAGTCAGAACTGAGAAGGCTGAGGGTTGGTAGGACAGGGAGGAAAGGCTGGGAGAGGTCAAGGTGGCATCTGGGGTGACAGAAGAATGCTGGCGGGCAGGGCGAAGGAGGAAGGAGAGTCTCCAGGGGCCAGTTACAAGGTACTAAAAATATTACCATTTCAGAGTCCCAAAATCATGGGACCTTCGCTTAAAAATTTTCAGAACCTTAGACTATCAGCTCCCACAAATAAGAGACTTGAAAGACCCTGTTATTTCCCAGATAGGGAAACAGCAGCCAGGAGAGAGAGAGGGCCTCTCCTCTCGATCACACAATGAGTTGGAGGCTAATTCTAGAACATGACTTCCGCCCACCACTTCCACTCGCCCTGGCGGGGTGTCCTTGGAGAAAGAGCACAGCACCAACCACACCCCCTGTGGGATCCCGAGTGCTCGCTTTGTGTCGGGCACGGACTGCTATGTTTTCACGACACGGGTGCCCATTTTTCAGGTGGGGAAACTGAGGCCAGGGAGATGAAACGACTTCCTCAGGGAAGTCTCCCATTACACCTGTGCACATTTATTGAGTGGTTACCCCGTCCAGTGCCAGGCCCCGTCCCCCCAGCCCTCCACACATAGTAACTCATTTGTTTCTCTCCACATTCCCTAGAGGATGGTTCCCATTTTGCAGATGGGGAGACTGAGGCCCGGGGAGGTGGGACGGAGGCGGCCTCCGGAGCCCCCGCCTAGTCCCGGCGATGCTTACCTGGGTTGTCCACACCTGTCTGGATGACGTCGTCCAGAGTGAAGCCGGATGGCGTCTCCTTGTCCCGAAGCTTCTTGTAGATGTCGAAGGTCAGCGCCTTAGCCATGTGGTTGTTGTGCTTGCTGAGGTCCGGGTACTCCTCCTCCGGCTTGTAGTTCAGCTTGAACTTGTTGTGGGTGTTACCGAACGGCATGGCGGCGGTGTGGGGGGCCTGGCGGGCGGGGGAGGAGGGGAAGGTCAACTTGTACCCAGTGCAGACCAGCAAGGGCACAGAGCGAGGCCTTGGGGTCAGGCCGGCCTGAGCGCCAGTCCTGACTCCTGTGCTGTGTGACTCGGAGCCAGAGGAATCCCGTCTCTGAGCCCTTGCATCTTGACAGGATGCATCAGGAGTCTCGGGTTAGGATTTTGGCTCTGTCACATCCCGGTGGTGACCTTAGACTAGTTACCTTATAAAGACTCAGTTTCTCCAGCTGGAAGATGGAGAGGGGAACCCCTTGGGCCAGAGTAGTAATCGTGGCATGGATAAGAGTGCAGGTTCTCAAATCAGACAGCCTGGGTTTGAATCCCAGCTGTGCCACGTGCAACAAGCTGTGTGACCTTAGGCAAGTTGCTTAACCTCTCTGTGCCTCAAATTACTCATCTGTAAAATGGGGATCATGATAACCCTCCCCTGACAGAGGAGCTGGGAGGACTAAATGAGTTAATTATGTAAAGCACTTGGAATAGTGCCTGGGACACAATAAGCATTATTTTATTATCTTTTTTTTTGTGTGAGGAAGATTAGCCCTGAGCTAACATCCATGCCAATCCTCCTCTTTTTGCTGAGGAAGACTGGCCCTGGGCTAACATCCGTGCCCATC